GCCCTCACTTTTTTTTTCCTGTCCAGTCTGTAGTTGGTGTGAGACGATCATAAGGAATATGATATTTAGAACTCAATTTTATGCAAAATCCATTATTCAAGAGATAAAGTTTATATACATGATAGACATGCAATGAAATAACCGTTAGACTAAGAACCTTTGTTACTTATGCATTAAATTGGTTCTGACATTTTGGTAAACTAAGTTCTTATTGATAAAAAAATTTGGAAGAATTTTGAGGATTATGAGAAAGGACCAAGCATTTTCCTTGGATTTGTTAAAGATCTTTTCTGCCGTAGGCTCAAGTATTCTGAAGGGTTTTTGAGTTTTTCCTTCTCCTTTATACACTTTTGTGAAGCCTCATCAGCTCATGGTGAGCACTGCCACCAAGGAGTTCTTCCAAACTTTGCCTGCCCTTTCTAAATTTAGGGTTCTTTACTGCAGCAGGTTGAAGATCTGGCTTTGATTGCACCTGGCTCTGCTGGAGAACAGAAATATTCATCTCCACTGAATGCATGCTGCTTAAGTGCTGGAGGCACTTGCAGGAGAATAACTCTCATTGGAAACTTCATTACAATACTTTCTCTTCCCTACATGAAGTAGTAATTCTCATTCACCAAAGATAGAATTTGCCTGACACAGCCATGGGAGCTCCTGTTTGACTTTCAAAATTAATCAACCTCTAAGCTGGAGTAGAAATGGCATGTCCTTTAACCTTAAGCACAAAAAGCCCTCAACAGACTGTAGTTTTTATATCCCTGGATGGGAATTTGGGCCCCTGATACTTAAACTTGATGCACATACTGGGTTTCTGGCATGCTTTTGCCCATACCCATCTGCTAGCCTGGCACTGTGCCCATTCAGAAGGTGTGATGCCAGTTTCAATAGGGCATAGGTGCCAATCAAAGATGGGTTTGGAGGGGCAGCATGCAGAACGCAGCAAAAGTCAGTTCTTCTGCCAGAAGATCCTCCTGTTACCCTATAATGCCAATGAAGGGCCACATGCTTCATTGCTTGGGATCACATTGCATCTGTAGATGTTTCTGGCCTTCAATGGATGTCTTTCTACAGCATCTTTTACCCCACATATTACTTTCTATAGTAAGTGTACTTCTCTCAAGTTTAATTTTGTAGATATTTTTAAAGTCTACCTGACTAAAAGTCATCCTTTTAAGAGAAATCTTCGACAATTAGTTTATAATAATTTGAGTCTTTAGTCTTCTCTTCTAAATACTCTTTCGTGTACTCATGTTCATGTCAGGGAGCTATATGGGACAAACATTCTGAAGAGCTAATTTGAAAACCTGACACTTTATGAATTCTACCAAGTTCATAAGTACTGATAAGTTTGGGTGGTGGACAAAATTTCATTATTTAAATGAACTCTCTGGTGTAGAGAATTAAAAGTTCCACATTTTTTATAAACAGAGGTATTATTTTATCTTAAAAGGAACATATCTCCTATTTTTTTCTGTCTCTCCATTATCTAAAGAAAAAAATACCTAATACACTTCAGAAATAAAAGTCTATTTATAGTTCATAAGAAATTCAAAAGCCTGAAAAGCTGAGGAGTTTTTTATTGTATAGCAATAGAGATGAACTCATTTCATGAAGAAGAAATTTCCCTACTGTAATAAGTTTCAAATTTAAAAACCTTGACCAGTATAAATGGTTACAAGATAAAGGGGGCTGGAGCAACAGCACAGCAGGTAGGGCATTTGCCTTGCACATGGCTGACCTAGGTTTAATTCCTCCATCCCTCTCAGAGAGCCCAGCAAGCTACCGAGAGTATCCCGCCCACACAGCAGAGCCTGGCAAGCTCCCCATGGCGTATTCGATATGCCAAAAACAACAACAACAAATCTCACAATGGAGACGTTACTGGTGCCCACTAGAGCAAATCGATGAACAACAAGAGAACAGTGCTATAGTGCTACAGTAAAAAGGAGTTGTTTCAGATCTTTCCTTATGACAAAAAAAAAAAATTGTCAGTAGTTGAAAATAAAGAACCTTAATATAAAATATGATAAAAAGATCAGACATTTTAATAAATAAAAAATAGAAGCAAAGGCTAAGCCTTAGGAAAAACTTATTCCTGGATCTGCACTCAAGGATCATTCCTGGTAGGGCTTGAGGAACCAAATGTGGCTCTGTGGATAATCAAATCTGGGTCAGCATCATGCAAGGCAAATGCCCTGCCTACTGTACTATCACTCAAAGAACTGCCATTTTGTGTAGGAAGCCAAGCTTTAAAAATAGATTATTTTTTTAATTGAATAACTGTGAAATATACAGTTACAAAGCTGTTCTTGATTGGATTTCAGACATACAATATTTCAACACTCATCCATAAAAAGATTTTTAATTTAACTGACAGGTAACTAAACACTACTCTTTCTCTTTTTTTTTCTTTTGTTGTTGTTGTGTTGTTCTATTTTTAATTGTTGGTCCACACCCCCTAGGGTTTACTCCTGGCTCTGAACTCAGGGATCACTTCTGCTGGGCTCAAAGAACCATAAGGGACATTGAGAATCAAACCCAGGTTTGTCATGTTCAAGACAAATGTGCTACCCACTGTACTATCCTTCAGCCCCAAAACTGCTCTTTTCAACAACTCAAAATTAATAACTTATGGAGAGCACATACAAAATTAAAATATTAAAATGCATCTTCCAGAAAATTTGACTTCTGTGTAGGTACAGTAAGTATCACAAAAACCCATGACTCCATCCTCCTTCAAGTTTATATTACCTAGTACCTACCTAATGTTCATCTGGTAACTAGTTTAACATATATACCACAGCTTCTAGCACAAGTTATTAACATATCAAATTTTCTTTTTTTCACATTCACAGAATCACTTGCAAAATAGCTTAGTGACAATCTTACTAGAACTATAATGTTGCATTTTATCGAGTGAGGCTAACTGGCCTAAGTCATGATACACTATACCAAAAGAATATTTAATATAGCAATGCATAATGAAACCATGTATGAGTCAATAATTCCACTTTGTTACTAACATTATGATTATGCTCTTCTAATCCTATCCTACATACCTTAAAATAAACCTTATCAATTGTTGGTGGGAATGAGGATCTATTCAACCTCCTTGGAAAACAATTGGACATTTTGCAAATATCTAAGGATTGAACTCCCACAAAACCTGGCAAGTCCACTTTTTTGGAATCTACTTCAGGGCTCAAAATCAATATTTCAAAAAGATATTTTCACTCCTCTACCTATTACAGCACTATTTAGAACAGTAAAATCTGGAAACAACATGAGTCCCAAAGAACAGATGACTACATAAGAAATTATAGTGTAACAATAGGATAGTACTTATACAGAAACTGTGGTCTATGTACACAATGTAATGGGTATGTGTGTGTGTGTGTGTGTGTGTGTGTTTGTATGAATAACAAATGGCAAAGGCAACAGAACCTGAGAACTGGTCTACAGAACTGAGCTTATCAAGGAGAAGTGTGTGTGTGTGTGTGTGTGTGTGTGTGTGTGTGTGTAGAATACGTATTTAAAAAATGCCAGGAGCGGATCTCATGATTCTATTCATTTCTGAGCTCCACCTCAACCTTGATGTAGGAACCAGCATAGGTGCCAGGAAGCAAGGGCACATCCAAGTCAGCTTCCAGGATCACTCTGTTGTGCAAACTTGACCTAGGCTGGCAGGACCCGAACAGGTGGGAACCAAGGTTGCCAGCATACCTTAATGTTCTGAGATAAAACCCACCTCTGCAAATCAGCCCAGCCTCCTGGCTGAGATGGGAATGTTGCTAGAAAATCAGAGCAGGTGAAGCCAGGTGGGGGGCCCTGGCCAGGGCCAGGCACTGTACCCCCTGCTAGAGAAACTACCATTTCTGAGAGTCCTTGCTGTGCTTGGGACTGACTTTAGGGCCTAAAATCTGGTCATGGTGGTAGTGAGCTCTGGTCTTCTATAATGGCCATTGGGGTAGAGTAGTCCTCATCATGGCTTATGGGTAATCTTCAATGGCTGTCTGAGCTGTGTGAGGTCATATGCAAGTTTTGAAAACGATAGAATCAGCACTCAAAAAGTGTCTGTAAACATTTTATACCTTTCCTCCAACTAATCTTCCTGCTGTCAATTTATGCTATAGACTGACTATCAAAACCTAAGAGGATAGAAGGAAAAATCTTTCCTCTACTACAGTTTAATGTTTTATAAGGAACCAACATGTCCTTCAGTGGAGCTCCTGTATCAAATTCTTTAATACAGAATGGATGTACAGAGTCCATTTGGAAAATATCACGCTTGTGGGGAAATATTTTGATCAATATCAACTGATATCTATTTATTTGTTAAATGCAGTCATAAATGGATAATCTCTGATAATTCCAGTACTGGCTTCAGACAGCCTTTTAAATTTTATGTCATTTTTAATTGTCAGTGTAATATAATTTTTTTGATAATTTAAAGTTTTATATATACTGTAAAAGTATATTAACTGGGGTGCCAAAGAACAAAGAAAATAAGTGTCTATCTTCTCTTCTCACAAAGATGATACATAACTATCACTACTTTAGATACATAGGAGAGAAATTCATTCATCCCTTACAAATACCTTGAGGTATTAAAGCTCAATTCTTTAGTGGAACCAAGTTAAGAAATGAGCAGAACACCATAGTGCTTAAATATTATTGAGTCTTAAGTAGAAAGTATTTTCATATGATTGGATCTTCTACAGTGAAAGATAATGCTACCAAGAAGATACACCTTTAAAAATATAGCAACATTTTGCCTGGCAGACTATAGTTATGCTGTTAAGATTCCTATTAATCGCTTGAAAAAACATGGATAAGAGATAGATCAGACATGTCCTAAAATTATTTTCTAAACATTAACGATCTTCATATTTTACATATTATTATAAACTTTTATTTCAAAGTTTTATTTTTTAAAAATTAATTTATCACAGTTACAATAACATTCATTTGGTATTTGGTAATATGAAGCTATACTTTACCTAAATATATCAATCCAAATCCTCCAGAGCCAATCATCTTGCCTAGCACCCATTGTTTTCCTTCCATGTCATCCAAAACTTTGCCTTCTGGAAGCGGAACAGGAAGCTTATATTTCTCATTCCTTCTCGGTGGCATCACGTCTGCTGGCAGAAAAAGTGAGAAGTAATTAAAAATAAAAACAACAAAACTTTGAGTTCAGCCCATTTTTTCAAAATGTCTCATGTGGGGCATTTCTAAAGACTCCTAGAAATTAAGAGTTTGAAGTAATTTTTGTTTGGCAAAGTCTGCATCCTATATTCATATTTGAGATTCAGATACATTATAATATTGAAATAAGATCTACATTACAATGTTATGAGGATGTGGGTTTTTTTTCTAACAAGATATAGTAGCTGTAATTCAGTCAAATTTCTATTAAAAACAGACAAGCAAGAACCTGTTGAATTTTTAACTCAGCCATATCAAATATATAAATATTTACAATAACTATAAGCAGTATAGAATATTCCTTAAGAAATAAGTTAAGGGACTAGAGCGGGTAGGGCGTCTGCCTTGCACCCAACCAACCAGAGTTCGATTCCCAGCATCCCATATGGTCCCCTGACCATGGCCAGGAGTAATTTCTGAGTGCAGAGCCACAGTGACCCCTGTGCATCGCCAGGTGTGCATCGCCACAGTGACCCCTGTGCATCGCCAGGTGTGACCTCCCCAAAAAAAGAAATGAAGCTGACAATTTCCTATGACAGAAAGAAAAACAAATTTCGTATCTATGCAAATACTTCATTGAGAATACTTCTTCATTAAGAACACAATATATTGCCTGAGAGACAATAACAGGGGAAGGAGCTTGCCCTGCACTAGATCTCTTGCTGGGTCTCCAGTAAAGCATCTGCCAGGAGTTAAACTTGGAACACCACCAGGTGTGGCACAAACACCAAAAACAAACAAACAAACAAAAAGAATAGTAAGTATAAAAGGTGAAAAGAACTTTCAATCACTGAGACAGTTTTAGATTGGGAAAACTTGGACTGTGAAAATGAACACCACTAAGCACAGCAATTGACAGAGTAAATACTCGACAAATATTGTTAAATGAGCACTGGGTTTTCAGGGTTCTGTAGTTAAGAAGCTCACCAAATCACTGGACAGTTTTAGGGTTGCCACAATACTCTAAGATTCTTGATTCTTTAGGGCTGCCACACTAAGATTTTTCTCTTCCTTCTTCAAAGTGAAAATTGCCAAGCCTCAAAGATCAATGTACTGACTGCAACAAAAAAAAAAACCTAGCCAGATAGCCTTAATCAGCCCTACCTGCTTAAGTTTTGTGCATTTTACTATCAGATATCTGAGTTAAAAGAGAACATTTTTGAGGGGGGGAAAAAATAACCAGTTTCATATCTGAAATTTAAAGGTGAAGTTAAGTGCTTTCTTCTAAGTAATTCCAAAGATTTTTTTTTAAGTTGCTGAATGCCTTTGAAATAAAGTAAACGTTGTTATCCTATCATCTTCCCCATATTTCTCAAGATTGAGTTTTTGATCCTTTCAAGAGATTTCACTTCCTACTATCATTCACTTAGCAATCAAGTACCAGAGAGAGCCAAGAAAGACAGCAGAAACCCCCAGAAACCCCGAACAATATTCACCCTCCCTCCTTCTGGGAGGAACACAAGATATTCAGAGGGTCAACCATTCTTCAAAGCAGAAAAGGGGGCGGGGGTTGTGCGGGGATTCCCCCAGTAGTTCATACAGTCTGATGCCCAGACACTCGCTGGCCAATTTAAACACTGAAATCACTGCAAGAACAACTTTTTGACAAGGCACAAGTTGTAAAGTATAAAGGGAATGAACTAGATTTGGGGAAAGTTCCTGGCAACGGTGCTTACTAAGACACCTAAGAGAAGACTAAGAAAAGCGGGTTCGGGAGGGATCCCGAGAGGGAAGCGGAAAGTGCCTCTCAAGGCCACTCCCTGACACTGAGGTGGCCCAGGATCCCTGCACTCTGGGACAATAAAAGCATCTCACTCGAGTTTGCGCGGGGTTAAGCCAACACCCTGAACCTCAACTGGAGCCAGGACCGGGCTTAGGGTCTGCCGGGCTCGGGACCCACCATCTCGCAGGGAAGTGGCAGGTGGGACCCGGGCCCCGCAAAGAGGCGCCTGGACCCCCGGTCCGTCTCCAGCAAAGGCCCCGCACCAGCAGGACACTAACTTCCGGGCACGGGTTTCTTGCTCCTCGCGAAAGGACAGCCGTGCCCCTGCCCGTCCCGTCCAGCCCCGCAGGGCCGCGCCGGGCGGGACAGGGCATATGGGGCTGGGCCAGCTAGCGCCCACTTAGGAGAGAGGAAGGAACCCACCGCGGAAGACCCGGCGTCGGACTCGGCTGGCGGATCAGCTCCCGGGCCGGGCACTGCACGGAACCGCAAGGTCCGGAAGCCAGAGCGAGTAGGGACAGGCCGGGCCCGGGAGAGTCCCGCGCAGCCAGCCCGCCTTGGGGGGCAGGGCAGGGCCGCGATCCTCCAATCCGCGGGGAGGCGGCCGCAGCGCGGCCTCTGAAAGGGCCAAACTAACTTCTCCGCGCCTGGGCGGGGTTCCCGGCCCAGGCCGCCCACTGGCGTTTCGTTCTCTCTTTCGGTGGGAGACGCGGGCCAGGTGGAGTTTGCATTGGCCCTCGCCGGTGCTTGGGAACCAGCTGCCTGCCGGTGTTTTGGAGATAGAGGGAAAGAGGAATGGCAGGGCCAGGTCAGGAACAGGAACTGTGTTCGTGCCAACCACCTTCGCCCGCCAGGATCTGAACGATGAGCCACCACAACGGTTTTGCAGAAAACAACAGGGTCGTTAAAGAGTGTGTAGGGCCAGGAAGATGGGTCCGTGGTAGGAAGCTTGCCACAAGTGGCCGGGCGGGGCGTTTAGGACCGAGAAGGAATCACTATGAAAATAATAGCTGGAAAAGATCACTCTGGACAGGAACAGAATGCTGAAGGGAAGTGAAATGATATACAGGGTAACCTTTCAGTAACAATATTGCAAACCGCAGAGCCTAGAAGGAAAGAGACAGGAGAAAAGTGTCTGTCACAGAGGCATCCAGGGGACCCGCCTGGCGGGAGGGAGATGGGACATCAGTGGCTGGCGAGAAATGTACAATGCTGAAGGAACCGGTGTTGGTACATTGTATGGCTGAAGCCCAATCCAGAACAACTTTGTAACTGTGTATCTCACGGTGATTCAAAACAAAACAGGGCAGGCGTGTATGGACGAGTAATTTTCGATAATTTGGGCCAAGTTCTCAGTGCCTAAAACTTCAAAACTGACACTGTCTCCCTGTGTGATTTTTTTTTTATTACCCACACTGCTATCATCCTAGACCAAACTACCATGGTTTTCCTCTTCTAGTATCCTCTGAAATAGTACTCCTAATTCCTACTGTTTACCCTGCTCTGTATTCACAATAGCCACATGATATTTTAAAAGATTAAGTTACATCATTCTCCTCAAGGCAGATCACTGTTTTTCCAATTCACCTATTAGAAACCTAGGTATTTCAAATCTTACCATTATTGGTTACTAAATCAAAGTGAATACTTGAACCAAATAATTCCTTGTTAAAAGAGGAAGGTACTGCTTTGGTGTGGATTACAGGCTATTTATTAGTACCCTAGGACTCCCACTCCACCCCCCAAGTTATGACAACAAAAGATGTTTCAAAACATAACAAAATTTATATATTTTTTCCAAATTTGCCTCCAATTGAGAATGACTTGCAATGATCTGCATGTTCTGCAAAAAAACCCTTCATTCCCTCCAATCACGATGGCCTTCTTGCTATTCTCAAGGTCTTTGTAATTTTCCTTATGTCAGAACCATTTTAATTTGATACTGTTAGGGCCCACTTCTATCCTTTTCTTCACATCTATTCAAAGTGGATGCAGTGAAGCCTTTTTTAACTACCTTAGCTAAAATATCAACCTAGCAAAAACACTTTAAAGCCTTTTTTCCCTTTTCCCTCCTATTTCACTGTATAATATCATATATGCTGCATAAGGACAGTAGTGAAGAGTCTTTTGCACTTTGGTGATGGTAGGTAAAGTAGATTTCTCTTTTTGTTATTTTTTGGGGTTTTTTCCTCATTATATTACACATCAAAACCATAAACATTAACACTATTGTAATCATGTTATCTAAATTACAACCAAAAATCAATTCAGTAAATTCTATGTGTACATGAAAGTATTCAAAATTTTTGACAGATTTAGTCGTGAGTGTAATCTCAGTTCATGGAATGTGTATAGTTAATTATATGGTCAGTATGTCATACATCTCTTGTAAAGTGTCTAGATGAATCATGGTGATTCTTTCCTGCCCAGTGATCTATACACATAATAAGCACTTATGAAGTATATGAAATAATAAAAAAAGATTTTAAGATATTTTATAAAGAGACTACCTCTTCTGAGTATCATTCTATCTGTGATATCTAGAATTTCTGCACTTATCTTAGAACAAATACAGATCAACACACACACAGTATTACAGAGCATTCAACAAATGAGGTTAGAACATTTAAATATCTATATATACAGGAAAAGAGAAAGACAAGATAAATGACTTCAACTTTTAACTTACATTGCACCGTAGCACTGTCCTCCCCTTGTTCATGGATTTGCTTGAGAGGGCACTAGTAACTTCTCCATTGTGAGACTTGTTACTATTTTTGGCATATGGAATGCACCATGGAGAACTTGCCAGGCTCTGCCATGTGGGCGGGATACTTTCAGTAGCTTGTTCAGCTCTCCAAGAGGGACAAAGGAATCAAACCTCTACCCACTGTCTATCGCTCCAGCCCAAACGTACATTAACCCACATAAAACTTAACTTGAAAAATAAACTTGAAATTGATCATCGACCTCAATCTAGCAAAGCCAAAAACAAAATACTTGAAACAAAGTTGATGAAAAAGTCTTTATTATTTGGTATACCTTTGTGTTCTTTGAGTTTGCACATTACAATGTATAGAATTAGTAAGATGTAAGTTAAAGAGATGAAATGGATGAGTTAATCAAAATTTAAAACTATTGCTCTCCAAAGGCATTGCTATGATAAAAGGTTTCATTAAGTATGTAGAGTAACTGGACTATGCTACATAATTAACGTTAC